TAAGCAAGTCACATGGGAACGCAATTGAGAATTCCTGATGTTAAAAAAATGAAATAACTTTTACTTACTCACATTTCTTCTTTTCCATTAACATTATGAGACATGAAAATTTGTAAATTTTTTCTTCTCATTCCTTTATTTTTTTTGGGTTCTACAAATTCATTCTTTATTCAGCTTGAAGCGCAAGTGATCAGAGAATTGTACGCTTCATGTTTTTCGTGACAATGAATGATTTGCGCATGTCTGTACGCGTATTGACAATGATAACAAAGCTCTATGAGAAAATTTTGTTCATGTCTGCGTATAAATTTTATGCATGGCACCAACACATTCACATACAGACTATAAGAAGAAATAAATGAACTATAAAAATTGTACATAGCTATAATTCTTTTTTTTTCTTTTCCCATTTCCTTGCACTCTCGCTCTTCAGACATGAAGAAGAAAATTCCTCGATACGAACACGAAAAATTTTCCCATCGACTTGAATTCCTTAAGAAAGAAAAAAAGAGAAAGGAATGAAAGAAAATTTTGCAAAGTTTTGTGAGCGGAAAATTTCAAAGAAGATATTTTTTTTTGTGTATGAGCGCGTACGTACATGCAATATTGTTGGATGCAATGTAGAAGACATTGACTCCAAGAATAGAACGAAGATTGTCATTTTTATATTCATTCCTCTTCTTGTTTGTTAATTTCATTTATTTCTGATCCTTTCCAGTCTAGTTGCTACTTCAATTTAATTTTTCAATTTTCGCTTCAAGCTTTTCGTTCATAATTTATGAAACGTACCTGGATAAAATTTTATATTTTTTGTGGATGTAGACGGATGTAATGAATTCTACTGTTGAGTCTGTGTCTGGAAGGATTTGTTTTGGGGATTTTATTGCATTTGAGAATTTTAAGGTATTAAGTTAATGATTTGCTGGATGTTTATGTTGGACTTATGTTAAAATAATGCTTGTAAATCAGAATAGCTTAATTTTTTGGGGTGGGTGTCTGTCCACATTTGTGGAAGGAAGCAAGCATGGTCTTATGTTTAGAGAATCTGTAGACTTAGCTAGAATTAGAAGTATTTGGACCCTTAACATTCCTAAAAAGAATCAGAAGAATTTTAAAAAAATTATAATTAAGTCCCTCAGCCCAGCATCTGCTTTGTACAAATCTGACAATTCATTCCTCTTAAATTCTAACCCCCCGATGTGAATCTAATTTGCACCAAACTGAGAACAGTCAATTCCTATGTAAACTTTACTGCAAATTTCATATAAAGAAAGTAAAAAAAAAACTTTTAATGAAAAATAATAAAATTGAAATAGGAAATTCAGTTCAGACACGATGAGAATTGAAAGGAAATAAGAGAAAAATTGTGAATGAAAGGAAAATTAAATAAGAGAACATTCAAAATGAGAGTGAAATTGGTGAGATAAATTGGAATTATTTTCAGTTCTTTTTTTTTCTTCTCAATTTCATTTATACAGATTTCGTCTCTCACGTTTATTTGAATTAAAAAAAGGAATTTTGAATGTGTTAGTGACCAACACATAGGAAGTGATAAGTAAATATTTGAAATAAAATCAAAAAAAAATTATTTACGCGTTCTCGTTCGAAATGTATGCAAAATAAATCGCTTTATCGAAAGACTTGTCGGCTGGCTGTTTCACAATGTAAGCCAACAGCACTTAAAGCAGTCATAGAACGGAAGAAGAAGTTTCAATCGACATAAATAGAAGAAGCGTAAAGGAAATGAAACAATTCACAACTACACATCATTTCCACGCTATGTGCAATGTGCAAGTTTATTACAAACAGCACAAGCAGCAGTGAGAATGAAAAAAAAAAGTTTCTTTTTCTTTCAAGTAAATAAAAAAAAATACTACAAACAGCATTCGAAACGTCTGATGACTTGTTTGCTGTTTTGCCTCTTTCCGCGTACACCGAAGTCAATGGACGATGTGAAGAAAGGAAAGAAAAGCACGAAATAATAAAGAAAAAAGAATTCAAGGCCATAAAATTAAATCTTCTTCTCCAGCACATTCTCAGTTTTGTATACTTTTTTTTTTCTTTTCATTTCATATTTTATACGTGAAGAGATAGAAGGAAGGGAGAAAGAGAGATAAAAAAATACTTGCATGATTTCCATATGTGCTATTATATGTCAAGCATGTGTGTAATAATAAGAAGAATGAGATTTAAGGAAAACAAAGATGGAAAGAATCAAATGAGACAAAGTGTGGCTGATTTAGGTTGAAATAAATGGGAATCACGTGCGAAAAACAGAAGCGCATTTTCTTTATTTTGCATGAGTTATGTCATGTCTCAAAAAATCGACATTTGCAAGAATTTATGAAAAGTGCATTTAGACTCGAACCAGATTAATTTGGCATAACCTGTAAGGGCTAATAACCATTAATATTTCGTACAAATAGTTTGACCAAAGAAACAAAACTTTACCTTAAAAAATCCAAAAACCTAAACATCAGTTGACTCAAACAGTTGTCAACGACAAATCCCATCAACGAAAAAATATGAATCATCACAAAACACTTTAAGAATAAAGATCCAAGCGACAAATTGTGATCTCCAGCTACTTAACTCACATCTCTCTGTAGAAAACGTGTTAAAAAAGGATAGAACTAAAACAAGAATTCATCTCTATCATCAGGTTGCTTTATTATGATAATTTATATTCTCTGTTTTCTCTCCATCTTCTCGTCGTCTTTTCATGCTTGCAAATAGCTGCTTTGCAATAATACTGTTGTTGTTCTTACTTTACATTATTCGTTTTCTCTTCAGCACCCGAGCGATGCTTTATCGATAAAGTCAGAGCACACAGAATACATAAAATAAAGAGTTTTAAGAATGAAACAAGTTCTTGCTATGGGTTCATGAACACTTGCACAGTTCTCATAATAATAATCATATTATATTTCTAACTAGCTGTACTCACATGAGCGCCTAATTTAATTTAATTTTTTTTTGTTATTCTGTGCTCATTACATTGCAATATGCAGAGAGAAGCTTGCTTCTAGTCACCTTGCAATGACCATGATATTGCTACAAAGCGATGTTAATATTTTGTAGGAATAACCTCTAGACAGTCAGTGAGATCATTAAAATACAGCACAAAAAATTGTGTAGCGTACAATGAAATAAAAATTCTATTGAAATAAAAACAAAACGAGCGGGTCTTAAAAGTTTTTTAGAATTTTTTTTTATTCTGCTGCTGTTGCTGATGCTGCTGCTCTTTTTTTACATGAATTTTGTTCAAAAAAAATTATTCTCATTTGTGCTTTTTGCAGCATTCGTACCCTTCTTTTTTAATCCTCTGGAATTAGTTGCGATTTGTTGTACAGTTTTGGACATAACGAGGATGTCCTCGCATTTAATTAACGTGACTTCTGAGATATGAGATTTGTTTTTCATAAATTGGAGGCTTGAATTTGGATTATTTCACCTGTGGGCATAAACGTTATTACTCGATATTTTTAACACACGCCTTTAAAAAAGGATTAAAGCTTTTGCTGCTTAATTAGTTCGCACAAGTCGATCCACATTTAGGTTATCAATAAGAAATAATAATCATTCAGTTAAATAGCTCGATATTCTGCAACCAACACTCATCAATTCATAAATAACTCAGCGATTATTCTTAAAATATCATTATCACTTAGCTACCTTACAATTTATTGCCAATTCATTTTTACGCATCGTTTAAATATTTACTCATTTTATTAAGTACCAATAAGGAGGAAATTTCTTACTTTTCTTATCTCAATCATTTATCTTAGTTATTAATAATAACATTTTCCAAGAAGTGTTGAGGCGTAATCACACAACATTTCCGTTAATGTAAGGTGTTGTCTGTCTGTAGGATGTTGATGCCTCTATTGCACGTAAAATGGAAAATCACTTGAAATGGACAGCTTTATTCCTTTCGACAGAAGTTTATTGTTTTCTATTAATATTATTGAGAATTGTATCTCTTGTGCTGCGAAAAGCATGACTTATAAATTTTTCATGGTCTTTTTGGTAAATTGAAAAAGGTAAAGGGATGCTCGGGTATTAGTGAAAAATCATCTTTTTAGACGCTTTACTGGCTTTTTCATGGTATGAAGGTAAATTATTCAGAAGTGATGAAAAATTCATAATCCAATGAATTTTTTCAGTTCTTTTTATATTGGTGAAGCATTAAAAAATTATTGGGCATTTAGGGACAATTCTTTTTGTGCTTACTAATAATGATCATTGGTTAATCACTTATAAGGCTTACAGAAGTTCCGACACCCTCATGTATCTTCCTACCCATTCCCTATCGAGTTGAATTTATGAACATCCCCAAACAAAATGTCCTAAAGATAAATTCCAAAAAACACTGCATATCCAATTTAAAATTAATGAAATTATGAAAATTAGATGAATAACGCCTATGACATTAAAATGCATTTATCTCTGCATAAATTGCACCTTGGGTGATTGTACGATTTACAATTTGCAATTTGTATGTGCACTGATGGTTGCACAAATCTTGATTTAATCATCTGTTGTTGACCATGGAAATCATTGTCGTGGAACTGTGTATATTTCAGCATTTTTTTACTTCTATACTCATTTTATTTCTTTATTACTCGTTTTTTTTTTTTCGTTGCTTCTTTTCTTACATTAATGCATTCATCATTAGCAATAAGACAAAGAATGAATGAGTGAGAGAGAGGTTAATGTGCAACAGAGATTTTTAATGTATGGACGTTCATAAATCTACCAAGTGCAACAAATTAATTATATTACAGAAATGAATATATAAAATATTCCTACTAGTAAAATCATAGTAAATTAGCATTTCCATTGCAAATTCATTCCGTATATTCAGTACAAATGAAGGAAATTAAAGACGAGCATTTAACATCGGATGGAAGACGAAGACCAGAATGCTTTAAAAAGAAAAAGAAAAATTTGTATTAAAAGATGTTTCATGTATTTTTTTCTCATCTTCTCATTAACAGTGGTGTCGTAACCATGAGTGCAGATTCAACTGCAACAAGCGACTCATCAGATCCAGGTTCACCATTTAGTAATACATCAGTTTCAACATGTACGGATGATGTGACAGCACAGAAATCAAATAAAGCAATTGCTAGCCAAACGATAAATGGAAAGGCACTTAAAAGGCAAGCACAAGTGACAGAAAAGGGTGATAAGAAGAGGGTAAGAAAGGAGATACCAAGCAAGAAGGGGAATGTTGAAATTAAGTTGATTCCAATAAGCGCAACACAATCGACATCTTCGGCGATAACGACTGAGAGTGTCGTGTCTACTATAGCCAAGAAAGCAAATTTGGTCAAAAGTACATTATCAGCAATAACAAATAACATTAATGTGTTCAAAAATCAAGCAAAACCTGCCATTAATAATCAATCACAGCCATCACTCGTAATTCCAACACAAACGCAACAAACTCAAATGACGAATGTGAGTTCATCGACGGGTCTAGGAACAACAATCAGTAAATTGACTGACTATTATAAACTTAAAAAGGATCTCACGAATAATTCGAATATTGAAAAGTACTGCAATATGCTCTTAAGTTTACAGCAACAACAAACAAGTGCCAAACAAAATAACCAAAACTCGGTAAAAACAAAGGAATTAACAATTGCAACAGCAAAGAATAAGATTGCTGGTGCGACCACAATCACACCGATTACGAGTCAATCACAAAAACCGCCATTAGTGAAAGTAACAAATGCAAATCAATCTGTGGCAAAGAAGTCATTGATGAATGAGAAGAAGACGGCAAAAATTGCTCCAATTATTCCAGTTGCACGTAAAAGTTCTACAATTACGACACAAGCACAATCAATCCAACAGCCCGTAAAAATTTCTCCAAAGAAACCAGTTTCTATCGCTCCAAGAATTGTCGCAAAGACATTGCCAAATAATGGCAATGGTAACAAAAATCCTACAGCAATAATTCATCCAAAAGCAGCAACTGTTTCGATGACAACAAATTGTAATTCAAATGATAAATACAATAATTCGATAGGATCCTTATCGAACATATCAGTGTCTGAACAACTACAACAGCAGCAACAGCCGACTGTTTTACTAGCTGCAATTAGAATTCCTAATCAATTACCGACATCAACACAACCACCGCCATTAAAGATCCAAAATGGATTAATGCAAAAGTCTTCAACCACAATGACTACAAAATTGGCTCCGCTCTTACAATTTCATACACAGCAAATGATTCCGAACTTAATACAACTGCCAAACTTAATTGCTACAACAAAAACGAAGCAAACAGCACAAAATTCGCCATTGCATCAAAATCTCATGCTCAATAATACTCAATTGACACAACAACAACAGCAACAATTATTTATGAATGGTGCTGTAATTAAATTGCAGCCTGTATCAACGCAACAAACCCCATCACAAACTGTCACATCATCGACAACTGTAGCCAACATGACTTCAATTAATGGAACAACTCAGAAATTTACTATACAGCAGCAACAGCAGGCATTTACTGCACAACTACCAGCACAACATATGCAACAATTATTTATGACGACACCTGTTCTCTTTAATACATCATCCATTCCGACTGTACTTACATCACAACTTGCAGGACTGCAACATGCATTTAATCAGCAACAGGCTGCTGCCGTCGTATCTGCCGCTATGTCGATGCCACCAGCATTACAACCAATACAATCGTCTCTGTTATCGTCCTCATATTCAACAAGCTCATTGACATCGACGACAAATAGTATTCAACTGCCCAGTTTTAGTACGCTTATACATAGTCATGCTGGATTGCAAGCAGCAACTGGTCAACATCATATCCATAATACTCATTTGCAACAGATTCCAACATTGATGAAAAGTTGTGGTCAAACATCACTTCCGCCATCATTAACAATTACGTCTGGATTTGTTCCAAATACAACGCCAGTTTCTCAACCAATGCAACACGTTCAGTCGCAGCATCAGCAACAAAAAGTAAATGTACCACCACAAGCAACAATTGCTCCCTCACAAAAAGCCAATCCACCACCTCCTTTAGCTCCTGCATCGCATTTAGGTTTAACAAATTTCCCAAAACTCATATCTGTTGCTAGTTCCTCATGTCAAACCTCACCGAAATCACCTCCACCACTCATAATTCCACAAAAGGTTTCATTACCGCATGGATCTCCCATTGTCACACTCCCACAAGCCCCAGTAAAACAGGAACCAATCATGAATGGTGAAATTCAAAAAACTAATGCAATTTGTATTGTTCCACCGCTTCCATCACCGGAAAAGATCCTAAAAGTGGAAACACAGGAGAAAATAACAGTTATCGAAGCATCAAAAGATTCAATAAAATCAGCTATAACAATTACCGTTGAGGAAAAGGCAACAGTTGAATGTGCCAAATCGCCTATTTTATCACAACCGAAAACAATTCGTTTTCCACCCGTCAAGGGAAAAGTTACTGTATGGAAGAAATGCATAAGAATATCAAAGACAGGTGTTTGTAATTGGGAAAAGTGCTCGAAGCAATTTGACTCAAATGCCGACTTACTGGAGCATTTACATATGAATCACATTAATGAACAAGGGGGACCATTTATTTGCTCATGGCGCGATTGTAAGGTTAATGGACGAGAAGGATCAAAAGGATGGCTTGAACGTCATGTTATGTCACATGTTGGTTCAAAACCATACAAATGTATTTTTGATAGATGTGGAAGTAGATTTAGTAGTCAGGTATGTCACTTTTATTGATGAGTAAATTCAATTGAAAAATTTGCTGAATAATAATTTTCTCACTAAAACAGGTTCAATTAGAGAAGCATGTGAATGGACATTTTAATAGCTCAGACCAACAAATAAACTGTAAGAGACCTTCCGATCCACCGATGCCAAAGAAAGTTAAGAAGGATCAAAAGAAAACCAAAGTTCGCCGTCAGCCTTGGTCTGGTAAGTTTATTGAGCTTTTGTTGGAATTTCCGGAAATTCCATGGGCGTTTCTAAGAATGTGTAGGATGTTCCACGGAATAATAAGGTGTTATAGAATGAATAGATTAAAAATAGCCGAGAAAGATGAATGAAAAACCTTTAACAAAAAATAAAATAATACGTTAAATGAGAGTGAATCACACACGTTGATCAGGTTCAAGATGATGATGATGAAGATGGAATTTTAAAAAGATCTTCTTTACTTCCTGTTGGATATCTTTTAACATTTTTTCTGTCTAATGTTGATTCTTTTCTCGCTATGCTAATTTATTTATGTGTTAGCTTAATTTACTCTGCAAATTTTCTGAATGAATCGACAGATTTTGATAGTTTATTGGGTGTATATATAATATTCATGGCTTTAATTGATGCTTCTTACTTTGTGTGATGAATATTAGCCACGATTCCTTAGAAATTCATTGAATCTAATTGTATATCTAGATATCAGCAGCTAAGGGCTATAAAAATATTAACATTTTTTGCTAGACACCTTAAAAATCAATTTCATCCAGGCCAAATACCTTCATATGCACAACAAATTAATAAGCTTCTTCTTTAATTTCAGCACGGCGATTTGATTTCTTCGATGTTGGTATGATGGACGTATTGCAATATCGTTTAGAGAAGGCAGAAAACATTATGCATGGACGAGAGATTGAGGTTACATTTAAAGGTCGCATTATTGGCAAACGACGAGCTATTAATGGCGATGACGAATTTCAAGTCACATGGAGTCCTTTAAAAATGTAAAAATAATTCACAAACATCTTTTTTTTATCATCATGCTTGTTGTTATGCTTAAACGATTATTAAAATTGTAAATTTTTTCTTGTATTATTTAGACTTGGTGATGAGTGGATGAAGAAGCCAGCTGATGCATATAAGCCGAATTTCCAATTAGTTAAACACGTTTCAATAAAGCGAATGAGCCCAATGCAGAGAATTGCATTGGAAGAATATGTGAATACAGTAACTAATTCAAATCATAAAGGACCGAATGGAGTGAAACAATTGAGAAAATGTTCGTCAACATGCTCATCGCAAGCATCTGTAACGTCAGCATCCACGTGACCTTCTTATAATAATATTATCTGCACTGTCGTCAAGGAACTGCCGAAAAAAGGACGAAAATGTCGAAGACTTGTACAGAAATTGTAGAACTGAAATGAATATACAACTTTTTGACTGTAAGAAACTACCGATTTGGATTTTTTAAATAGACTTTTAAACTTCCACGCGGAAGGGTTATGTTTAGTTGATTAAGTATGTGAAAATTTAATTTTAATCTTTTGATTTTAGCAAAAATATTTCAAAATTAACACAAAAAAAATCTTAAATTTAATTTTTCGGAAAGACTTTTTTTTGATTATGCAACAAAAAGAAATGTTTAGGATATAAGGCACATGTAAAAAAATATTATTCAATGAAAACATCACCCAACCCATGTGTACAATGATGTACAAAATATGAATTATTTTAGTGACAAATTTTTAATTTTTTTTCATCTTAACTGAGATAAAAACTTTTTGTGGCAAATTATGAGAATAAAAAAATGTGTTAATATTTAAATAATTTTAAATTTCTTCCTCGAAATGATCTCTTTAATGTCTATTTCATAAATTTGTATGAAATTTGTATCGACACTGTCAAATAATTTATATAGTTTAAACAAAATTCCTAATTGTATTTCTTTAATGCGAAATTCATTAATTACAGTAGTTAAATTTTTTAACATTAAATTGACTCAAAATTTTTTAATCCTTAATTTTTAGATCCCAATTCTCACATCCTTAATTAAATTATAGACTTTAATAAAATTATGTAAGATTGGTAAAATTAAATGAAAAAAAAAATTATTGAAAAAATTGAAATTTGTTGATCTCAAAAATATGAAGCTGATTTAATTTTTTTCTGCATTAAAGAAATCGTTAAATCAATGATGATAGCAAGTCACAATATGAAATTGATAAAGTGATATTTTTGTTTGATTCGAGAATGCGAAAATAATAGGAAAATAAATTCGTAAGTTTTTCTAGTAAACAAATGATTTGTGCATTTACTGGCTAAAGCTAGTCCAAATGGATACCTAAGGGACCAACTGTAAACATTTTTAAAGTTTGACGAAATAGTAACTTTGATAAACTTATATGTTCTTAGTGAAAAAACAAGAATGAATCCTTGCATTAAGCTTAATGCTTTAATGAAAATGTTATCATCTTCCATTATATTTTATCAAGGACTTTCAACATCATTAAATGATGACAAATTCATGTACAGACTAACAGTTGTATAAATTTCCAGCATGACAAGAGAAACAACATCCTTGATAACTTATCTTGTTACCATCAATATCATTGAATCTTTGAAAACTTTATAATTGTGATTCATTTGTATACTAGAAATATTTATAGATTAATTATTGTGTGGAATTAATTATACTTGACATTTATATGAGTAAATATGAGTAAGGATTGCTTCTCTACGATTGGAAATTGATCAAATAGATCTTTAAGTACCCAAAATCGTTTACAACTGATTTAAAATTAGCTAACGTATTGCTTAATTTTGTTGATTTTGGATACTAAGGATCTCACAGTTGGCGATTTTTCTGCTCTTATTTTCCATCCATTCAATCAATTTTTGGCAATCACTTAAATGCCATCAAAGCTCAGAACTTAACTTAGAAATTCTCACATGACAAGAGCCTATCGTCGTAACATATTGTAAATGCACTATTGGAAGTGCATAAAGCGTCGATTTCTGAATTGAGTTCTGACATTAAGTGCTTGAAAAATGTCTGATGGTTAGGATCTTGAGAGAAATTGTCCATCAATCTCCATTTGATCATAAAATTGAGTCAATAATTAAAGCACATGACTACAATGTGCCGACCATATGACTAAATTATTTTACCAAGAATTACATTTTTCAAGTCATTCAGGTAGACAGAAAGAGGAACGAGAAGAAGCAATTTAACACATCCTAGCAAATAAATTACAGTTATAAGTTATAACTGTACTTTTTTGCTCCTCACACTCATTAAGAATTCTTCAAAGTTAGAAAGTAAAAATGTTTGTTGAGTAAACTCAGACTTGTAAAAGTCATTTCCGCACAAGTAATTCCATAAACTCTTTAGATTGCATTAAAGTGATTAAAGCACACAGAAGAGTATAAAGTTTCGTATCTCCATTAATCTCTCTCGAACGATGCAATTAAAGTTTTTTTTTTATTTTTTTCGCAATTTCAATGTAATATCTTTTTATTCATGCATAAGCAAATGCATATATCCATCATATGTAGGTGACACATTCTATTAAGTGTTAATGTAAAATTTAGTAGTGATATCTAGACATTAAATAAACATAAAACTAGTAACTTAAAAAAGCGCACTCGACTCAATGGAAGATAAAAAATAATAATAATAATTATTTGTAAAGGAGAAACACAAAACACAAGCAGATTACATGATTAATACATAATAATTGAGGTTTGAACACTGCCAAAAAAAAAATTCATTCTTTTTTAACATTATCGAGTATTTATGTATATGTATTAACATAAAAAAAATCACACGAAAAATTAAACGTTTTTGTATCTTGTGACTGATAATTCTAAGGTTCTAAATAATAAACTGCATAAAAATAATAATAATAAATTGAAATGAGAATAGCATGAAGCAGTACAAGATAAAGAATGTGGAATATCAGCACACACGTCAAAATAGCAAATGATAATAAATGAGTTATGTGAATCATCATCAGTAGTACATCAAAATCACTGCCAAATGATAACATTTGAAAAATGGAATTATGGGATTTATGATAGGCAGGGGTTCAATACGAAGTATTTAATTATTTTTTACTGCCATAATTTTTCTTCTGAATAGACAAAAAAAAAATATGAAAACTTTCTTAAGTTACTTGCATTCGAGATTCAACACAAATAAATTAAATTAAATTAAATAATTTAAGTGAAAAAGTAATTGAACATAATTTTTGACATAAAGACTCGCAACACAAATGCCATTAATTTTAAAATATCAATCAACTATTTTAAAATTGTAATTATTAATTAATTAATTGATGCATAATATGTAAGGATAGAATGCAAAAGGAAATTTTAGTTCTTTTCGGTAAATATTGAACTTAGTTTAGATCTTAAATTAAATTGAATATATCATCAAATTATATTCGATTAGTGGTAATTTTCTTCCTTTTTTTCGGTAACTTACCAATTGAAAATAAATGCGTTTTAATTAATTATAGTAAAATTTAAATGATTTAAGTGGAATTGATTGAGAATGTTGATTGTTGAGATTTATAAAGTGGAAGGCTTGTTTAGACAAGTTTCGTGGATGATCAAGAGAAATTGAGATCTTTTGGAATCTTAATTTCTGGACAACATATTGTAAAAGAATTTGATATTTTCGGATATCTGGCTACATTTAAGAATAAAGACTAGATTCTGGTTATGAAAAAATTGATTATTGTGATCTGATCAGACATCAGTTTAAGACTTAAGACTTAAACTTTAAGTTGTCAAGAGCTTTCATCTTTAATTCATTTGGTAATCCATAATATGGATCCAAATATGATTCTGACTTTCTTTCATTTTATTGTTCAGGTTAACAGATTTGAGAAAGTCTGGATTGGAAATTTTCTGGATCAGGAACAGAAATTCGTTTGATCTTTAATGTTTTCTAAGAAATTGAATATAACAATCAACAATTGATTGTCATAATAGAGTAGTATGGAAACTACCGTTTCCATAATTTGATATCAAATTTTAATATGTTCCTCAATCTTAATTAAAGCACATACATTTCATTGTTAAACAAACTCTAGAATCCACAACATAATAATCGCATCTTCAATCTCAATCAATTTCATTACCCATTTTAAAAGTGAAAGTAACTTCCAAGCCTTCACCTTGGATTGTGTTATAAGAACAAAGCTCAATTTAATTTTCATTAAAAAATAATTCAAAGGAAGAAGTAAAAAACGAAAAAGGAAACAAAAATAAGAAAAGGTTGGAAAAAAATAATCGAAAGATAAAAAAACAGGGAAGCAAAAGAATTCGAATATCCATAAAATGTATATCGAAAACGTAGCAAATGAATACACAAAAATATCTTCAAACATACGAAGGGATCGAATTGAGAAGTTAGAAATGTCTTTATAAATATTAATTAAATTCATTAAAAAAATTATATACAATTGAATAAAAAGTAATCTTTATGTGGGAACCAAAAAATATGTTTTAAAACTCAAATAAAATATTTTAATTCACCAATAGTTTCATTGCCAAAAACTAATTAGAAATATGAAGGAAAATATTAAAAAACAAAAAATATGAATCGTGAAAATTTTATCCTAACATGTTAGGAAATTACCTCTCGTCTGGTAATCATAGTTGATGACATTTGACAAGAAGTAAATGCAATTTTCATGTTGCTGGATATTTTATTCTGCGAGGAGTTGGAGATAAAGTTGATTTTTATGTTTGAATGCATTTTTAGTTCTTTGATTGAGAAATAGAATTTTAATCAATTTATCAAGCTCAAAATAGCTTATAAAGCTAACACTAATCTAGATTATTATGGGGATCAATACAGAATTTGAGAGATCAAAACAATTTGATGATTACTATTTTGTAGTAATTCTGCTGCAATTCTTAATGCTCTTTGAAAAATTTAATATCCCAAACAAATTTTTAATTTCCGAGATCTTAAAGAATAAAAAATCTGAGATGATCAATTACCAAAAAAATCAACTTTAATCTCCAAAAGTTTTAACAGAATGAAGTTCCAGCAACACGAATAATTTTATATCAAAATAAATGTTTTTAAAGGAGGAGTGATGCATTTTTTGCAATTTCATTTATTTCAATTCAGTTCATGTCATTTATTTTATATCCAAAATATTTCCCCCCACGCTTAATAAATAATAATAAATAAACATTAATTAGTTGATATGATATAAAAATAAAGAAAAAAAACGTGAGAATGTAATGGAAAAAAGTAAAAAATTTGAACAAATGTACGAAAAAGTAAATAATAAAATGATGGTTACTGTAGTATAGGATAAATATTGATAGAGTCACATGGTAATCGATTATCATGTTCTTGATAGCATAAGATACTTACTTGATGTGTGTATCGTTGTATGCCCAGCATTTTTAAATTTTATTATTTTTATTTTCTATTCTATATTTTAATTATGTTCATATTTTTTTTTTGAAGATACTTTTATGTGAAAACCTTTTTTCC